GGTTATGGGTTTGATTCCAGTCCAGGCACATCCTAGGTTTGGGGTTCAGTCCCCGGTCCAGGTGTCTACAGGAGGCAACTGGTCAATGTTTCTCTCACATTGGTGTTTCTCTCCCTTCCTCCCTGTCTAAAATCAATAAAAACACATCCTCAGGTGAGGGGGGAAAAAAAAAGCTCACCAGTGTCCTTTGTCATGAAAAGATGCTCATATTTTTTAAGTGAGAAGGCAAGCTGCTAAAATACAAGGGTGGGCAATAGAAAGTTTATAGTTATAATAAAAATAAATAATAGAATAGTTAATAAATAATAATACAAGAATAAACTGTTTCATGAACTCACAACTGTAAACCTACGTTTGCCCACCCTGTATTCCTGCATTAGCCTCGCCAGTTGCCTATTGACTATATCTAAATGATGGTAATTTTTTATAGGCTTGAAATATAAATGGTTCCTGTTGGGCACAAGCACAGAAGCTGAGCCTAACGTGAATCACCTGCTCATCCAACTGCCTTTAATGGAGATAAAATAACCATTAGGATCTTTTCCAAGCTTTTGGCTTTTAGATGAATTTGTTTGCAATTAGTGCAGCAGTAGCTTTTGATTTTGAAGTCCCTGCAGCCATAAGTTTGATTTTAAGCAGCTGATTACTTTCTGCAGTAGTAGATTAAATGATTTCTCATAACCACATGAAATTTTTGTTCAGTTTTGTTTGTTTGTTTGTTAGGTCTTCATTTATTCAAGGTCTTCTTGATGACTTGCCTCAGCCAGAACTGGCTAGTAGGTTTCCCCTTGTGTGACAACTTGGTACACTGGGCTGAGACCGTGAGGCCACATTTTGTTCAGTGGGAAAAGGTATCCTGCTCAGTTAGTGATGTCTGCATGGAAAAAAGATGGATATGAGTGATGGGGAGCCTTTGGAAAGCCACTGAGTTTCCTACTCTTAATGTGTCAAGAAGGAAAACTTTCCTCTCCTCTTAGGTTTAGTGAATCTAGTCTGTGAATTTAACTGAAAAAAGACAGATTAACAGGAAGAAAGGAATACAAATTTATTAATTTTTTATTTGCACAGGAGTGGGGAAAGGTATCGATATTTAACATCCTAGCATTGCCCTGACATCGCAGCATCATAAGAAAGAGAAATTGACGGTCCCCATTCCTCTCACTGCCTCTCCCGCCCTCCCTCCCTCTCCCTCATGAACCCTACCGAGGAGCATCTCGTGCAGGATCCCTGGGCGCTGGCCACGCTGAGATACCTCACTTTTGACACTTAGAGTAAAGCAGCCGACTTTTGTGGCTGCTCAGAGCGCGGGCTGGAGGCTGGAAGGAGAGTCCTGACTTGTGAGCTGGGACAGGGAGAGAGTGTGGGCCTGAGCACCATTTCTCCATGTTGCACTGTGGGGGAGTGGACAGTAGGTGGCCTTTCCATAGGGCAGCAGCCCTGAATCCTAGAAGTCCATGCACTTCTAGAAGGTCTGCTTGAAATTTATGCACAATGTTCATGTGGGGGTGGAAGATCCACATAGATTCTCAAAGGGGCACGACTCCAAAAGAAGTGAAGACAGGGGCACGGAGCGTGTCAGATAACCCTGGCCCTCACCGTGTCCTGAGACCCTGTGTGTGTCCCCAAAGCACTTCCTGTTGAATCCTGCCATGCCGACTAGGATGAGGGGCTGAGCCCCGACTTGACACTAGCGAGGGTTCAGTGAGTGAATCCACGAAACAGCCAGTGCTGAGCTATCCAGTTCCACCACTTACCCCTTCTTCATCTACCAGAAAGAGGCGAGAGATCTGTGTTTTATTTCCTCTGTGACATTAAAGGATATTTTTAGAAAGAAAATATAATCGTGTGGTCATAATGACCTCTTCTGCACATGGGAGAGAGAGAGAGAGAGACAGAGAGGGACAGGGCTCTCTCCGGTCTCTTATAAGGGCCTCACTCACATGACTGTATCTAACCCTAATTACTTCCCAAAGGCCCCCCATTACATGGGGGTTATGGCTTCCACATATAAATTTTTGGGAATACAAATATTCAGTCCATATCACTGAGCAAATTATTGAACTTTCAATCTTAGTTTCTTCCTGGAATAATTATACCTACCTAATAGGGTTTTTGTGAAGATTAAATAAATTTTTAATATATATATATATATATATGTCTGCTTAGACTGAGTGATGCTATGGAAACAAATGACCCAAATTTCAATAACTTACAACACCCAAGGGGGCTTGTTCATGTTCATGTCCTCAGCATGTCAGCGTGCTCTGCTCCAAATCTTATTCCAAGAGCCACACTGAATAAGTGGCTTCTGTCTGGGACAGGCAGGTCTCATGGCAAAGGGAAAAGAGAGGTGGCAGACCTCACGGTGGCTCTCAGAGCTGCTTAGAAATGCCATTACTTCCATTCACTTTTCAACGGCCAAGCTAATGCAAAGCATAATCCTTCCAAAGGGACAGGCCTGAGAGTGAGGAGTGATCAATATCTTAGCAGTCACACAATCTGTCACAGTATGTAAAAGTGTAACCAGTAAATGTCAGTGTCCCTCCCTTCCCTCTCTCCCTTACCGATCCTGCTGAGGAACACGGTTGTGGAGCACGCAGGGGCCGTGTAAGGCCATAGTTAGCAGTCTAGGTTCTGGAGGCAGACTGCCATTTTCCAGCTGTGTGGCCCTGGGCAAGTTATTTAACCTGTGCCTCGGTTTCCTCCTCTGTAAAATAGGAATCATAATAGTATCCATGCCATAGAGATGTGGATTGAATTAGTTGATGTATCTAAAGTGCTTAGAACAGAGTAAACCCTATATAATTAACTGTTGTTACTGCTGCTATTATTGTTATTATTCAAAGAAACTTGGCTCCAAGTCAAAAACTTGATTCCAGCTAATCATTCTGTTAGTGACCTTGAGCAAGTCACTTAGTTTCTGAGTACTGATCATTTCTTCATCTGTAAAAGTGGAATAGCACTCACTTCGAGAGAGGCCGTGGGGGACAATGGTTAAAACCATGGACTTCAGAGCTGGACTACTTGGGATCAGACTCCAACTACACCACTTTCAAGTTGTGTGACTTGGGGCAAATTACTTAACCCCTGTGAGCCTCAATTTCATTACCTGTAAAGTAGGGGTAATAATCACACCTTATGTTCATAGGAATGTTATGGGAATTAAATGAATGGTTTGTGTGTAAATGTGTTAGGACAGCGCCTGGCTCTAGGGAAATGACCAATAACTGGATGGCACATAGAGCAAGTGCGTAGGAAGTTTCACTAGTGTTCTTTCCTCACAGGGCTTTGAGGATTGATTATATAAATAGGCATGAAAGTGTTTATATAAAGTACCGGTCAAGTGTGAAGACTCAGGAATCTGCAGTGTGGACGTCTATGGCTGTGTCATTAGGATTAAGCAGGCTCAGCATGTCTGGGCAGTAAACACTCTTTTGAAAGTCTGTCCAGTGCAGAGCGGCCCCCTTCAGTGCCTCCTTTAGGTGGGGGTGGGCCCTGGCTGCCATTTTCATAGCTTGTTAGTTATAAAGCATTTGGCCCTGCTTCCAGTATGACTGAGCATTTTGTATAACACCTTCAGAACAAACAAAAGTTTGCACCCCAAGATAAACCAAAAAGGTTGAAGTCATCCTGACTGGTTCTGATCTCCAAAATAGTAAAGCCTTGAATGTTTCCTGTACATCTGGATTCACTGTCCAAAATACTCTTTTCTTGGTGTGTTTTTTAAAATATGTTTTTACTGATTTCAGAGAGAGGGAGATAGAAACATCCGCGATGAATCATTGACCGGCTGCCTCCTGCACGCCCCTCCTGGGGATCGAGCCCACAACCCGGGCACGTGCCCTGACTGGGAATCAAAGCGCAGTGATCGCCTGGATCCTAGGTCCACGCTCAGCTGATGAGCCACACCGGCCGGGTTTATCTCTTGATTTTTTTGCTGTGCTGATATCTACAGGCACATCATGACCTTTGTGAAACTGATAATCATGTGGGAAAGTTTCTGTTCTCCTACCATCAGCAGACTCATGTAACTGTCATAATCTTGGTAATTTTTCTTCCTTTTTGATTTTTAGAGAGGGAGGAAGGGAGAGGGAGAAACATTGATGTGAGAGTGAAACATCAACCCACTGCCTCCCGCATGGAGTCTCCTAGCCGGGATTAAGCTCGAAACCTGAGCATGTGCCCTGATTGGGAATCGACCTGGCAACATTTTGGTGCACAGGACAACACCCAACCAACTGAGCCACACTGGCCAGAGTGATTTTTTTTTAATAACTTTTTCTGTTTTAATTTGGGAAGTCTGTCCCCTTGTACTCTTTGTAAGCAAACCTTATCTTTCCTTTTCTGAATGTTTCTGTCTTGCCTACAGTTGACTGGACTAGGGGTTGCCCTCCTGATCCAACATGGGCCAAATCCTCCCTCCAGGAGTTTCTATTTGTTTTGTTTCTCAGCTTCTTAAACCACGAAGATGGGAACTGGAGGGCTGTGGGGTAACCATCTTCACCAGATACGGGCAGAGAGGAGGAGAAAGTTCATCCTGCAGAGCAGAATAAAGCAGCGACAAGATGGGGTGGGAGTGAGAGAGGGATGGGGGACAGCCCTGTCACCAGCACCCCACGGCCTCCATCCCATCGCTCTGCTTCATTCACTTCATAACACTAATCCCTGTCTACACACGTGTTTGTTTGTGTCTGTGTAGCAACAAGAATGAGTGTAAGCGCTGAGGGCAGGACCGTCTTGTCCATTATTGGCTCCCAGTGCCCAGATCAGCGCTTGGAGTGGAAATTCCATAGATACTGGCTGGATAAGCGAATCCTACTTACTTTTTCATAACCAAATTAAAACTCTGAGCCCTGGCCAGTGTGGCTCAGTTGGTGAAGTGTCATCCCATACACCAAAAGGTGGCAGGTTTGATTTCCGGTCAGGGCACATGTCTGGGTTGCGGGTTCGATCCATGGTCAGGGTATGCTGGAGGCAACCAAGCCATGTCTCTTTCCCTTCCTCTCTTTGAGGCTGATGAAAAACATACCCTCCAGCGAGGATTGAAAAATAAATACATCTGAGAGCTTGTGTCCCATTGTTCTAAAAATCTTATCTGCTTTGAGTTATTTAACAAAATTAGGATGAATGACCAAATAATAATCTTACATGATTAATTTTGAAGCCTGAAACTAAAAATGATGAGCCTGCATTCCATGAAATGGGTTGGTTTGCAGCATCCCTTCAGGAAGGCGAGCCTCACGGGTCATCGTGAGAGTGGTCCGGGCTGACTTCTCCCAGCCGTAACTGGGCTGTCATGATGAGTCAGTAAAAACCAAGAGCAAAATCGGATTATTAAGGATTTGATGATGGAATTTAGAAGCCGAAGATAAAATAAGTATGGAGTAAGAAACTTAACAAAATATATAAAAGCAAGGCATCATATGATATCAAGAAAAGAAGGATCCTGGCAGGTTTGCAAGAGTACCAAATAGTTCATCTAAAATAAAAATGATATTAAAACCTCAATAAATCCATTGAAGAAATATTTCTGACTTACAGGGGGAAAACTCTTTAAATAAATACGTGGAATACATCATTGAGAGAGAAATCCATTCCTCTCACTCTCCCCCCTTGAAAATCCCAGAGGGGCTAAGAGACGTAGTAAAGAAGGTGTCGCGTACGCCTCGGGAGTGGAGAAGAGGCGGGAGAACGTGGGGGAGTGATTCCTAGATGATAACAGGGCATTTTCCAAAACTGAATAAAAGAAATTTGGAGAATACAACAAATTTTAAGCAGACTGAAAAACCAGAAATCTACATTCAGGCACATCGTGGTGAAAACACGTGGCACAAGGGGCAAAGATCTTAAAAGCAACCGGAGATTTAGATTACGTCAATGCCCTGCTTCCAAGCTCTCAAGGGCTTCCTTCACCTGGTTAAACTTAGGGTATTCCCCAAATTTCCACCCAAAACTCATAGTATATTTTCAAGAAAACAAGAATAAAATGTGACTAGTGAGTAGAAATTTCTGGTCTCAAGTGCAGTGTGGTGTCTGGCAAGAGTCAAGTACTCCTGATGTTCGACTTTAAAAGGGGCACTGGGCGATGGAAGCTTACCGGTGTTCCTCCAGCCCTGTCCAAGGAGCAGTCTGAGCACTGGAGAGGTGCGCAGCGAGGCGGGGCAGGGTGCTCTGTGCCGGGCCTGCATTCCCCATTTTCCTCCTTCTGCTGTTGCTCTAAACAAAAATATCCATCAGCTCCACTGCTCAGGCTTTTAGCCTTTTCTGACTTCACCTCAAAGAAGTTTCTTTCATATACATATGTAAAAAAAGGGTCAAATTCTACAAAGCAGCTGTGCACTCCTTTGAATCCCGACACTTCCCATGGACGGGAGCTGCTTCCCGAGGACAGCTGTTCAGAATGTAGGGAGGACACAGCACTAAATATCTTGGAAATTTTTATTTTCCCCGCCAACATCTTTTCCAACATTTTATTAACTAATGAAAAGTGACCATCAGAAGTTGTTTGGCTGCATATTGCACTCAAAAAGCAAGTAAGAAAGCTATTTAGAAAAAGGAGGTACATCACGTTAGAAACATCATAAAAAACGACAATCCCATCACATGGAAATACAAGATCGAAGGTCAGATGAACATTCAAACAGGCTCTATTCAAATGAGAGCTCTGCATTTCTTCCAGAAGAATCTTTCTCTCAGACTTCCAGTAACACTTCATAATGAACAAAGAGCTCATTTCTTTATAAGCTGAGGTATAACAACATAGCTTTGTTAAGGTGAGAAGCTGGGGTATGGTTTGACTTCCGAGACCAATTATCTTTGAGCCCGTTGTTCACGCCAGGAGAGGGGGGCTGGGGAGGGGCAGGCCAAGGACCAAGGGAAGGGAACCGGCGGCCGTCACCACGCTACCAAAACAAGCTGCAAAGCGATCCTCCTGCCGCCACTTCACACAGCTGAAAAGTTCAATGAGGAAGGAGCTTGTATTGTTAATAAACTAACACAGTCCTTTCACTTTGTTTTATTTTTTTTAAAGTGCAGCTCTCCAAGAATTTCATTTTTTAAAAATCACCTGTAAAGGAAGAAAAAAGATAAATACACTTAATTCAAACACTGACTTTTAACATTCCCATGATAAGTGAATGACCAAAACATCAGGGCAGGTTTACGAACTCCAGGAGATCCCTGCAATAGAGCAAGGCATCCTATCGTAGGGGGCTGTCTGGAAGGTTTCCAGGACAGCAGAAAGGATTCCTGCTTTTCCCCAAGTCCTTCCTCTCATCTACAAGTTCACCGATGCCCAAAATAAATTCTCTAAGTATCCTTTGCCCCCGGTATCTGTCTTACGCTACAAAGGTGATGGGCTACCTCACTACTACTCTGGGGACACGTAAGTCTCACCAGGTATTTTCCTCTCCATACAGGTGAAGAGACAACACCTTGCCCTGAGAGAGGGTTTTAATAAGGGGGCAAAGGGCACTGGGCACCAGATTAGGCCTCCTACAAACAATTCAAAATAAATACATAACAGTGACATTCATTTGACACAAATGACAATCATATGCCAGATGCCTGTCCAATAATATCACATATGGATAAATGTTAAGTGTGTTACCATCTTCTGTGAGAAATACCAGCACACGCCCACCCCTCCCCCCAAATAAACGTTAACAAACCTTTCACTGCAGGTGACTCCACCCTTCTGCTCACTTCCTTTTAACCCAGGTTTCTGACTCTCGTCATGTACTTTTCCGGGTTGGCCGCGCTCATTACTGTGGTATAAATGGTGTAGCTGAAAATAATGAGAGGTTTTTATACACACACCATTTTCCCTAGTATTCTTCAAAGACAAAAAAACAAACAAACAAAAAACCAAGCCCTTCCCTGACAACTTGAGACCTAGGACAGGAATACAAATAGAGGCCCACGTATGTCAGAATATTTAACATTTGTAATTCAAGTTACAACGCACTCAAGGTGCTCTTTCCTCCTATTTTGATGGAGGAAAGGCCAAGCTCAAATTTAAAATTCTCAGATTCCTCAGAGCTGTATGCTGTGCAGTGAGGAAGAGCCAGCCTTGGCCCTCGCCCCTTGCTCTGCCCTACCCACAGGGGGCACACATGTGGACACCTCAGCCTTTGCACCTAGGCTCCATGCATGACCCCCAGCAAACATCCCGTGACCACAGGATGTCCACAGTGGCTACACACCACCACCAGGAGCCCACCACCCACAGAAGTGGGCCACAAGTGCCCTGGAAATGGGCTTAGTGCTGTTCAGGCTAAGAAATCCACGGTCCTGAGTACTTGAGCCAGACTGGATGGCAAATGCACCTGCCCAGTGGAATCCTGATATCAAGGGAGGGTCAGAGGAAGGCAGAGCAGAACTTCTAAAGCTCAGGGATCGAGACAGGGGGCCCACTTGCCCACATCTAAGGATGAAAAGTCCAATGTCATTTACTCAACATTCCGCATAGAAGGAGACCTGAGCCACAGGAGCCCGCGTGCACGCACGCACACACGCACGCACACAGGAAGGCCCCTTCCCTTCACTCCCTCCGCCTGCTGCTTGTGCTGGACACCAGCTGGGATGCACGTTCAAAGCACCCAGAGCAGGGCTGCTCGGGAATAGGCAGAACTAATGCCCTGGGCCCTACAGCTGAATCGTGCACTCAGCTGAAGAAGCATTATGAGCATGCTCCCTGAATAAGGGCTTTGGCTGCTTATTTCCCTCGGTCACAATTCTATTCTCCATGAGCATTTTACATTTGTCTCTGTTTTCAGCCACGGCAGAGGATGGCATTCCACCGCAGGTGGGTGCAGTTTTGCAGCACAGCACGAGGGGGCAGCATAGAGCTAACTTCTGCTCAGACTTCTTTCTGTTAGCCTCATACAAGTACAGGGCCTGAGAGTCAGGGAGCTGTGTTAATTCTGGATCAGTGGTGATTACCCTTTAAATAGTTCCTCTTGGGCTTTCAACTATACAACAGAGAAAAACGCTGCTCTGTAAACTGTTTATAATTTCTAACAATTCTATTTCAACAAAATATTTCAGAAGCCATTTCAACATTCATAGCCTTTGACTCAGTAACCACGCATCTGGGAATTCAGGCAAGGGAAAAATATCCAAAAGCGGGGGGAAAGGGGGGGATACACAAACATGTTTACTTCAGAGCTTTACTGGAGGAAAGTCTCACAGCTGGAGAACGCTTAACTCATTTATACCACAGTCTACTGGCTATGCAGTTATTTAAAATTGTAAGGGTTATTCACAGCATGGAAATGCTTTATTAAAATAAATATAAGTATTTTATTATAATACTAATTTTAAAAGATATATTCATAATTTATATAATTATTTTTAAAACTATAAGAACAGAAAAATAGGCTTTTACCCCCTACCTTTCAAATGAATATTAAAGGGTAAAACTGTGGTACCAGAAAGGGTAACAGTCACCTGTGCCTCCTACAGGCTGGTGAGAGTCAACTGTTAAATAGCCAATTGTAAGCTTGAAAGAGGCCAGGGAGGAGTATTCACACCATGGAAGCTAATAAATGCTACAAATCAGGGGGGTCTTTTGTTTGTTTTTTGCTCCCCACCAAACAGCTAGTTTACTACCATACCACTGGGCACCACTTGTTACCCAAGTAGCTCATTTGGTAGGGTGGCAAAATGCTGACTGACTAGGTAATTTGGTTTTTCTGTATTTGGCAGATAGAATATCGTTCATGGAATAAACATTTTAGCATTAATCTTTTCATCAGGCCATACTTTAAAAAGAACTTTCGAAGAGGTATTTGGAAGATATATTCCTATTACTGTACAAAGTAAAAAGAGTAACGCCAGTTTTGAAAACATCATTAAACATAACAAATCTTAAAGCACCCATATACAAAAAATATTCTAGAGGCCATCAGGAAAACTCCAATTTTGTGTTTGTGTAAAAGAGGATTGTTTCTGGGGGGGGGAAATCAATTAGGTATTTGAAACTAAAAACCACTGTACAGGTTTCATCTGCATTAGGCTATTTCTTAAAGAATACTATTTTGATATTCCTGTCTTGGAGAAAGCAGAAGTGAGAATGATGAAACTTATAGAAAAGAAGCTAAAACTCTGTATGGACGTGCAGGTGCTTCCTCTTATTTCAGTCAGTTAAGTTCTCCCACAGGAGCAAAAGGTGTCAGCATCCTAATGAGCTGGTCTTAGGTGTGGGTAAGACAATCAGGCAACACCCGGAGCGGGCAATGACCAGCAGGCTACTGGCCTCTACAGCCTTGCTGCGATGGTGACAGTGACCTTCAGAGTCTCCTGTACAAGCTTCGTGGTGGCTGCCTCTCAAATGTGACCAAGAGCTTCCTATAGCAGTGGTGGCAGAGCCCCAGCGGTTCACTTCAGAAAAGTATGTGGGTGAAGTCCCAGGCTGTAGGCTATCCAGGGCATAGGAACTTCGATGCTGAATGATCACAGGGTAGCAGAACTTCCCCAGGAAGACAAAGGAAAGCCAGAGCTGTCCCGAGTTTAGTTCTAACAGTGAAATGAAGGAGCCCCCAATCAGTGAAGGTAGGCCCCTGAGACCAGGCATATTTAGGATGAAAATGTCTCTCTGCTTTTCTTTATCTTTGTTTTCCTTCGTGGACTTCTCACCTGACATACGATACACTTGTTTATCTTTTTACCAGCAGAATTCTAGTCCCGCGAGAGCAGAGACTTAGTTTTGCTCACTGCTGTTCCCACAGCACCCAGAAAGCCTGCTCCACAGGGAGCCCTCGGATCCCTGCTGAGCCAGAGCGCACGCGTCCACCTTCTGGGGTGACTGACGTATGAACAGATGAGAACAGATGTCACTTACTTGTTATAAACCGGAAACACTGACAAAACCTGCATAGGAAAAAATCATGTTATAAAAACTATCAAAACAGAGACTAAATACATGTAGCGTATCTACAGGAAGAATAAAACCACTTAACACTTCAGTGTGTCTCCGAGCGACAGTTACCGACCTCTGAACCCTTTCTCCTCTGAGACGATGAACATATCCCACCTCTGCGCCTTTCTCTAACGCACAGAAAGATTAAGGTGAAGACCGATACTTTAACCGACACAAGAAACAAGCTCAGAAAATGTCATCTGGCTTTTTTTTCATGTTTTCAACCAGTACAACTTCTAGCATCTGCATCTATCATATTTGCTTGACTTCAGAGGAGAATATTTTCTTAAATCACTATTAACAAAGACACCAAACACCCTGAGCAAAACTGGGCATCCCAATTCAAGTTACCTGGAAGAGGGCGTCCAGGCTGAGGTGTGCCTGGCCCGTTCCATTGAGGGCTTTGATGGCAGGTGTTCTGCAAGGACAATGGTAAAAGGTCACCGGGCACCTCAGGAAACCTGACTCCCACCAGTTCTCATTTTGGGAGACTCAAGGCGAGGCCTGGCCTCATTATCTCCCTTTCCTCAAAACAGATTTGGCCCCAAGCATGTTTCCTCCCTAGTCCCAGATCCCCACAGTGGAATTAATTCAACCGTGGGCCCACCAGCCCCACCTGCTCAAGGAGGCTGGGCTGGTGAAAATGCATCGCTGCAGAATTGAAGAGCTGCCACCAAACCCGGG